ATCACTTCTTCTCTTCTTCATCTCTTCTTCTCTTCTTCTCCTCTCTAGCGGACACAAAATCGGAAGTGACATCCATCTCGTTGGCACGACACCCTAGGACACTGCAAGGTTTAACCACAGAGTTTGGGGGGTGAGTCCTAGAATGTCGCCCCGTTGTGTATCTGAAGATGTGTGCATGCCCACTGTAATGTCGCCACGCGGTCATGCGAAGCGGCCGAGCTTCGCTCTCAGGAACAATGGGCCAAGTATATTAACCAAATATCCCAATACTTTATTCAGTAGAGCTAATCCCAGTAAACTAGTTTTAGGGTTGCAACCTAAGGCTGAAACTCTAGGGATGCTTTCTTGTAGAGTTGGCAACTCTGGCCTGGGAGATTCATAGAGATTGGGTGGGCGGGGCCTGGGGAAGGGAGAATCTAGCGAGAGATTTCACACAGAATCTATGGCAGGGGTGTCAAACTCATGCGTTATCAGGGCCGGATCTGACATAAATGAGACCTTGTTGGGCCAGGCCATTTGTCCCATAAAATGTAATGCAAGGTAGCGGAGATATAAACTGTATAAAGGATACAAGCACAAATGGGTATTTTTTTCTTAAAATAAAATCATGCTTAAAACATCAGCACTCTTGCAATATTATGTTTATTGAACAGTGCCGGATAACTGACACCTCTCTTGCTCTGAATAAGTGCATCAAAATGTCTGTGCTGTCGCAATCTTGAGTATGCTGTTCAGGTGTGTATCTGTAAGCTGCAAACCTACAATGATGCAACAGCAGCAGAACTGGAAGAAGAAGCAGGAGACAGCCAGTTCCACTGTGGGCCTGACAGAAGCCCTCCGGGGGGCCTGATCTAGCCCACGGGCCGCATGTTTGACACCCCTGATCTATGGTATAGAGTATGGTCGTAAACTCTGGGCTGGGAAAGGCCTGAAGGTTTAGGGGCGGAGCCTGGGGAGGGCAAGGTTTGGGGATGGGAGGGACCTCTGCAGGGGATAAGGCCATAGAGTCCACCCTCCAAAGCTGCCATGGGGACGGATAACCCTACCACAAGGTCTCTCCTCCGGAGCTGCCAGTTTCTCCATCTCTGAAGTTTGGAAAACAATTGTGTTTTGGGGAGATCTCCAGGCCCCACCTGAGGTTGGAAACCAGACTTCCCTTGGGAAAGCATTGGATAACCCTGGGACTCACTTCTGAGTAGAACAGTTTAGGGTTCCTCCCTTCACTCTAGAAACTTCAGGTCACCCTCTGCGATTCTGCAACCTCAGGTAGGTGAAATCTATGGTTGTCATTAGGCCTGGAGAAAAAAATGCCCAGTCCCAAGAAGAAGAAGAAGAAGAAGAAGAAGAAGAAGAAGAAGAAGAAGAAGAAGAAGAAGAAGAAGAAGAAGAAGAAGAGGAAGAGGAAGAGGAAGAGGAAGAGGAAGAGGAAGAGGAAGAGGAAGAGGAAGAGGAGATTGGATTTATACCCCGCCCTTCTCTCGGAGTCTCAGAGCGGCTTACAAACTCCTTTCCCTCCCCCTCCCCACAACAGGCACCCTGTGAGGTAGGTGGGGCTGAGAGAGCTCTTTCGAGGACTGCCCTTGAGAGAACAGCTCTGAAGGAACTTGTGACTGACCCAAGGTCACACCAGCAGCTGCATGTGGAGGAGCGGGGAATCAAACCCAGTTCTTCCAGATTAGAGTCTGTGGTCCTAACCACTACACCAAACTGGCTCTCAGAAGCTTGTGCGTAGGAGCATGAGAGCATTGTCTCTACAGGAGAGACCTGCAGAGACATGTGTCTCATGGAAGGCCATGTGGATGGAGTGAGAGGACAAAGTGAGAGAGGAGAGGAGGGGTCAGAGGGCAGCTCCCCGGTGAAGAGAAAGAGAGGCATCCCATTCAAGGAGACAACACCACCACTTGACACCACACCAGCCGGCTGCATGTGGAGGAGTGGGGAATCAAACCTGGTTCTCCCAGATCAGAGTCCGTGTACTTAACCACGACACAAAACTGGCCTTTTTTAAATGAGTGGAAATGGGCAACTGAAGCTTTTGGCAGCAGGGAGGGGAATGATATCACCTGGCTAATATCCTGCCCAGTCTCCATTAAAGGGGCCGGGCATGTTTTCTCCAGCCATTTGGCACCCCTAGTTCGAACCCTCACTGGGTGTGGTCTTTGTTTTCAGACGCGTAAATGATTTGCAAGTGTTCGTGCGTGTTTGTGTTAAGCCAGGGGTCCCCTACCTTTCTGAGCCTGAATTCTGACACAGGGTGATGGTTTGGACCGCCGTACGGCCACATGGAAGGCAGAAGCAGCCCCGCCCCCCAGACACAGGCTGTGGTCACACGGTCATTTTGATAGGGCTTCACCACTGTTCCCTCTTGCATTTAAAACTGCCGATCAGACGGCCACATTCATCTCCCGCACCAAAGTGGGCTCACTCACGCAGTTTTCCCGGTTCCCAAGCGAGTTTTCCAACATCGGGAAAATCAAGTACTTTCCGGGTACTTGCACTTTGAATTTGTGATTTTGCCTATCTGGACAGCCATCTCTCACAATGATTACGATTAGGTCATCTGAACGTCCTTCTGGTAGGTTTGGGGTTTTTTCGCGACTTTCACCATTGTGCGCATGCGTGCGCATGCCCATATGTGCGTGCGCAAAGATTTTTTTAAAAAAAATATTGTGCCACGTTGCCACTTGGGCGGCGCAGCTGTCTGGACAGTGCCTGGAGCATTGTCGCACAAAGCAAGCGGCTGGGCAAGGGATGTGTGATCCTCTGAACCCGCTTAAAATATCCCCAGTCAAACCTACAGGAGGAACAAATTATGGTACGCTTGCCGTGTGACCACAGTCACATAGAGGGAGCCCAAGTGCAGGGCATAAGAGGAGTAAATTTTAAAGGTACACCGGGAAAGAGGAGTCAGAGAGAGAATAAAACCAACACGGGGCAGCTGTCACTGAAGTATTATTTTAATCGGCACAGCCAATCAGAGCTCATAAGAACATAAGAGATGCCAGTGTCGGATCAGGCCAAAGGCCCATCCAGTCCAACACTCTGTGTCACACAGTGGCCAGAAATACCAGGTGCCATCAGGAGGTCCAGCAGTGGGGCCAGGACATTAGAAGCCCTCCCACTGTTGACCACCTCAAGCACCAAGATGACAGAGCATCACTTGCCCCAGAGTCCCTATCTATACCTTGTGGCTAATAGCCACTGATGGACCTCTGCGCCATATGCTTATCTAATTCCCTTTTGGAGCCGTCCATGCTTGTAGCCGCCACCACTTCCTGTGGCAGTGAATTCCAAGTGTTAATCACTCTTTGGGTGAAGAAGTAATTCTTTTTATGCATTGTAACCCGACCGCTCAGCCATTTCATGGAGTGCCCACGAGTTCTTGTATTGTGAGAACGTGAGAAAAGTACCTCTTTCTCTACCTGCTCTATCCCAGGCATAATCTTATAAACCTCGATCCCGTCACCCCTCAGCCATCGTTTCTCCAAGCTAAAGAGCCCTAAGCGCCTTAACCTTTCCTCATAAGGAAAGTGTTCCAACCCTTTGATCATTCAAATGGGTAGTCAGAATCCCTACTGGTCAGGACTCCCCCTGGCCACGCTCACTTTTAAAAAAAACACTTGGTGGTTGCCAGGAAAGGTGTTGGAGGGCATGCGGTGCCCCTGGGCGTCACGTTGGGGACCCCTGTTTTAAACCATAGCCACAGTATACAATTTGGACTACGGAACTCAGTGCCTCCAGGTGAGCACCGCACCAGCACCTAGAAACTAAAGTTTTCCAAGTTAGTGATCATAAGCCACTGTATTACTCTATTCTAAAAATATACATATTTTTTAATTTTATTTTAACATTTCTACCGCTTCATGTCGAAAACTGCCATCATCCAACAGAGGTTTGCTGATGCTGGAACAGACATGAATGGAACACTTAATGCAGAGGTGGATGGGAAAACAGATACTGGGGTCCCAATCAATGCTCCCTCTAAGCCAGTGGTGGTGAACCTATGGCACGGGTGCCGGAGGTGGCACTCAGAGCCCTCTCTGTGGGCACGCGTGCCATCGCCCCAGCCAGGCCCAGACCATCATTAAAGTGTCGGATTCTCTGCCAAATAATTTTAAGTAAATGATAGCATTTGGGATTGCTTTCCTTACTCTGTTTGGATCGCCTTAAGTTAATGTGTGAGTTGTTTTCTCTAAAGTAAAACTTCAGTATTCAGGTTAAATTGCCGTGTTGGCACTTTGCGATCAATAAGTGGGTTCTGGGTCGCAGTTTGGGCACGCGGTCTCTAAAAGGTTCGCCATCACTGCTCTAAGCTGTGGAGTCTTGTGAGCAAAAATTCTGCTTTGTGAGCTGCTGGCATTAAAGTTCTGAGCAAACAGTTTGGCTACTGCATAAATCAGTTTGCTTTGGAGCGCCCTCCTCCCTGAGCGAAGACAAGAATGTGCGAGCTGGAGGATTTAAAACAAACAAACGGTGAGCTAGCTCACACTCACTCAGCTTAGAGGGAACACTGGTCCCAATCGGTCAAGCACAGCTCCATGGCTCATTTAACTGGGGGGGGGTATACAGCAGGGAGGGGGAGAGACAGAGAGAGACGGCCATCCTAGCTCAGGGTTGCCAGCTTCCAGGTGAGGTCTGGAGTTCTCCCAAAATTACAACTGATCCCCAGACTACAAAAATCAGTTCCCCCGGAGAAAATGGCTGCTCTGGATGGTGGATTCTATAGCACCATCACATTCCTCCTGAAGAAGAAGAAGAAGAAGAGATTGGATTTATACCCCGCCCTTCACTCGGAGTCTCAGAGCAGTGTACAAACTCCTTTCCCTTCCCCTCCCCACAACAGCTCCGACAGAGCTATGGCTTGCCCAAGGTCATCCAGCAGCTGCAAGTAGAGGAGTGGGGGAATCGAACCCGGTTCTCCCAGATTAGAGTCCGCGCACTTCACCACGGCACCCAAACTGGCTCACCACTCCATTCTCCAAACTCTACCCTCTTCAGGCTCCAACGTCCCCAAATCGACAGGAATTTCCCCACCTGGAGTTGGCAACCTTAGTCCTACCTCAGGATCCTAACTACAATCAAACGGCCCTCGGAAGTGGAAGAATTACCACCACCCCCATCACAATTAGTGCACCGCCCAGTTGCCGTTTCTATTTTAACCATTCGGGAGGTCCGGCCAGGGATCTTTGCAACCTCTATTCTACTTTGGCTGTTCGGGGGACTTTGGGTCTCAATTCAACACCCCGTCCAACGTACGACATCCTTTCCCATTGCACCGATATCCTTGTTTTCCCCAGCTTCTCAGTAACCCCCTGCTGAAAAATGGACATTCTGCCTTGCGACTGAGTTTTATGCAGACATACTTCACAGAACATAGCTTCCAAAAAAAACCCACTACAAGGTGATGTGGACACACGTACATCCCTGTTGTACCACGGCAAAGGTTTGAAGAAAGCACACTTTCCTTGTCTCGGGAGTTGCATACATAACCCCCTCCGGTGCAGTATAGAACCTCTACCATTGTAGATAGGTAACACTTGGCGAGTCCATTGAAGTCGGAAATGTAACCGGCTAGGACACCAGGCTTTTGGCCTTCATTGCGAGAGCGTTTTTGGCCCGCGTGTGACAGTTGGGCGTGCTGTCCGTGGCCGCCGGGTCCCCCCCCCTGGCCGGCGTTTTGGGGCAGGCAAATTTCACAAACCTCTGCCCTGCCAGGAAGTACAAGATGGGGTCCAGGCAGCTGTTGGTGCTGGCCAGCGGCCGGGTGACCTTGTACGCCAAGTTGATGGCGTTGAGGGTCTCGCAGCTCAGGTCCCAGCTGCGAAAATAGTAGTACAGTGTGCGCGTGACGTGGAACGGCAGGAAGCAGACGATGAAGACCACCAGGACGATGACGATCATCTTGACCGACTTCTTCTTCGAGCTGGACATGCGGGTGGTGCCGCGGGTCGGCTGGAGCAGCGTGCGGGCCATGAGGCAGTAACAGACGATGATGAACAGGAAGGGTATGCAGAACATCAGGACCAGCATCACCGTGCTGTAGACGACGAACTGGCCGAAGAGTTCTTTGGCCGACGTGTCGTGGCACGTGATGGCGTCGCACCGCGCACTGGTGGTGACGAAAAAGAGCACCGGGGACTGGCAAGCGATGACCACCAGCCAGACGATGCCCGACACCCAGCGGGCATAGCGCACTTGGCCCCACTCCAGGGACTTCAGCGGGAGGCAGACCCCCATGAACCGATGGCCGCTGATACACAGCAGGAAGAGGATGCTGCAGTAGAGGTTCGTGTAGAAGAGGAAGCGGACGATCTTGCACAGGGCCACGCTGAAGGGCCAATTGTCCCCGACGGAGTAGTAGTACACCAGGAGGGGCAGGGAGATGACGTAGAGGGTGTCGGACACCGCCAAGTTGAACATGTACGTCGTGCAGGCATTCCAGGTCTTGATCCTGAAGAGGAAGACGTAGAGCGCCAGCAGGTTGAGGCAGAGGCCCAAAATGAAGACGATGCCGTAGGAGACGGGGAGGAGGATGTACTTGAAGTCCTCGTCGAATTTGCACTTGTAGGTGTTGTCTTCGCTGCTGCAGTCGGGGCTCGAGGAGTTGGCGCTGGAGTTCAAGGAGAGTTGGAACGTGGCGTTCTCCATCGCACTAGAGAAGACGCAAAAAGGAAGTCATTACTGGCAGCAACTGCTGAATCGCAATGGATAATGACGCTCAAGACAATGCATCCACCTGGACTGAATTGAGACCTAGGTTTCCTGTCTCATCACCAATGCTGATTTCTCTTCGCCCTATTACCCCTCTGCACATCTCACCTAAATCCAATCACGCCTGCTATTGTCATTCACCTGCTATTGTCATTTGCCTGCTAATGTGATTCGGCATCTGTAATCACTCCACTTTCCAATAAATATGACAGATGGACTCCCTTTGTAGCTGCATCTGAAGAAGCGAGCAGTGACTCACAAAAGCTCATACCCTGCCACGCAGAGGTCATTTCGGGGGGGAACGCGGGGGAACGCAGTTCCCCCGGGTGAGGTGCAGGGGTCGGGGCACATGATGAAGCCCCGCCCCCTGCTTCCGGCCACCCCGCTTCCAGCCCTCATTCAGCCAGGAGGAGGCAGGAGAAGAGGGAGGGTAAGTTGCTTCCTCCCCGCCTCTCCCCACCCCTGCCTGCCTGGGGCCAGGGAGGGCCTTGGCGGGTCTTCCTCGCACTCCCGCCGGCCTTGCAGGTCCACCGCCAGGCCCCTGATGTCAGGGGGTGTGGCATATGCTAATGAGTTATGCTAATGAGTTCCCTAGCTCTTTTTCTACGAAATGACCCCTGCTGCTATGTCTTTTGTTAGTCTTTAAGGTGCTACTGGACTCTTGCTCTTTTCTACGGTCCTAGGAGGATCCACACCTCATTGGACAGGGGGCCTTCATAACCATTCACATCCTGCATTTCCCTGTGTGGGAAATCCAAGAGGTGGATGATTACCATAGCGACATGTGGCTCTGGTCTTGGTCCGTGCCCTTACGACGGCTAAAAGAAGCATATTACAACATCGGAAAGATTAAAGCCCACCTTTAGTAGATAAATGATCAAGGACCTTAGAGCTCTATCAGCATTTGAACGCGTGGCATACAGACGCCAACTGTGTGCAGACATATCTTTAGATATTTGGAAACTCTTTACAGTCACTTGTGTGTCAATCCACCACCACTGTTGCTATATTTTCATCTTTACCTTATGTATACTTTTAAAAAATCTTATTTAGTGGCTGGATTTTAATGCCTTCCCCCTGTTGTTCTTTTTTCCTGTCTTTTTAAAGGAAAGAAATAATTAAAAATAATCAAATTTTAAAAGATGGCTCTGGTCCTTGTAGGGCTGCCACGCCCTCAGGTCTTTCTGGAAGGGGCGACAGGAGAAAAAATTAAAAAGAAAAACAAGGCTCTGTCTGCTTACAGGAAGTTCTTACCATATAGTTCCTGGAGACTCCTAGAGCTACCTGGAAGTGACAAAGGGTAGCTCTAGGAATCTTCGGAGACTCTTACGATAAGAACTTTGGTTTCATCATGGAGTTCCTGGCGATTCCTAGAGCAACTCTCTGTCCCTTCCATGTAGATTTAGCAACCACCAGGAACTTCAAGATAAGAACTTCCCATAAGATGAGGAGGCGTTTTTCTTTTTAATTTTTCTCTTGGGATGCTGCCCCCCTCCCAAAAAAACCCCTTCTGTCGGTTGCCAGACACTGCCTGGGAATTCTCGGTCCTAAAAGCAACCATATGTACATTTAGTTGTAACACAGAGGTAGGGTTCCCAGCTCTAGGTTGGAAAATACCTGGAAGTTTTGGGGGTGGAGCCAAATGAAGGTGGGGTTTGGGGAGGGACCTCAGTAGGTTACAATGCCATAACGTCCACCTTCCGAAGTGGCCATTTTCCTCCAGGGGAACTTGATCTCTGCCACCTGGAGAACTTTGGAAATCTCCAGGCACCACCTGGAGGTTGGCAACCTTACACAGAGAAGCTAAAGTCTATGGCAACCACGAAGAAGAAGAAGAAGAAGAAGAAGAAGAAGAAGAAGAAGAAGAAGAAGAAGAAGAAGACCTACCCAAAAATAAGCCCTAGCGGGATTTCTATGCATTTGTGGTATAAGCCGTAATGTGTCTTCTTGAGAAAAAATAAATATAAGACAGTGTCTTATTTTCGGGGAAACACGGTTTAACCACTTGAGCCACCGCAGCTCAAGAGAACATTACAAAGTCATAAACAGAGAACATCCTTAAATCCCTCCAACTGGAACTTGCAGGGGGAGGAGGAGATTCTTCTAAATCGCCAGCAAACAACACGGGTAAGGCTGTATGGGGAAGATCCCCCGCCCGCCAATGGCGAGTCTCTTTTTAGGGACTCCTTTGGGGAACCAAAGATTCCGGAGCGGGCAGGACGTCCCAAAGAGAAACACTAGAAGATAAAAATCTTGGTGTTCAGCAGTAATGCTTGCTTTCCTTTAATTGTCATAGTTACATCATGAAATTATACAGTAGAAGTGTAAAGAAATAAACTGGCAAGTACTAATTAACAACTGAAAATAAAAATAATTAGTGATTAACTGCAAGGAGATCAAATCAGTCAATCCTCAAAGGAATCAACCCTGATTGTTCCCTGGAAGGCCAGAGACTGAAGCTGAAGCTCAAATCCTTTGGCCACCCAATGAGAAGGGAGCCCTCACTGGAGAAGACCCTGATGCTGGGAAAGACTGAAGGTTGTAGTATGAATGGGAATATAAAGATTTTTATATGTAGGTTTCTTCTTCTTGATTGTTCATATTCATATTTCTCTGGTTTTTATAGATTTATTCTTTAAGTAATATTTTATTAGGATGTTAGAAAGGCCTGTTATATAGAAGGCTTTCCTCTTGTAGGTCTGATATTGTTAGCAGACAACATAATAGGTACAAAGTTCATGATTCTGTAGTTCTTAGGGCAAACCTTTCAATGTCTGGGTCAGATAGGATTTTAGTCTCGTATCAGTAATGAATACTTTTGTTTGGGGAAGAACAAGCTTTAGCCGATATGCCTTAGGTCATGTCAAGGAAATATGTGACGCTATTGCATAGACACACCTTTCTTACATTTGACCAATAAGGAGATTTTAATGTAAATGTTGTTTAAGTTTTTGTAACCAATTATGCCTTTTGAATATTATTCCCATGATGATGATATGATGATGTCAGTCCATGTATAAAATATTATGTATTTCCTGAATATGTTCAGAATATGCTCAAGAAGAAGATGAAGAAGAAAAAGAAGAAAGTTGTCAATTTCTGGTTAACTATTTGGTCTAATTGTTTTCCTATTGATTGAGGCATGTTTCCTAATTATGCTGAGAAGAAAGCAATCAGTTTTGATGGGTCCTTTGGCCCAACTGTTTTCCATATGTCATTACAATAAAATACAAGAACTTCCTCCTCATTTGACTTCATTTTTGACATGGAATCTAATATTTACAACAAGGTCAAAGGAGAAGGGGATGGCAAAGGATGAGATGGCCGGACAGTGTCACAGATGCAACGAACATGAAATTGAGCCAACTTCAGAGGACGGCGGAAGACAGGAGGGCCTGGCGTGATCTGGTCCATGGGGTCGCAAAGAGTCGGACTCGACTGTGCAACTGAACAACAACAACAAGAAGACTCTTGAGAGTCCCTTGGACTACAAGGAGATCAAACCAGCCAATCCTCAAAGAAATCAACCCTGACTGTTCCCTGGAAGGCCAGATAATGAAGCTGAAGCTCAAATACTTTGGCCACCCAATGAGAAGGGAGCCCTCGCTGGAAAAGACCCTGATGCTGAGAAAGACTGAAGGTCAAAGAAGAAGGGAGAGGCAAAGGATGAGATGGTTAGACAGTGTCATCGATGCAACAAACACAAAATTGAGCAAACTTCAGAGGACGGCGGAAGACAGGAAGGCCTGGCGTGATCTGGTCCATGGGGTCACGAAGAGTCGGACTCGACTGCGACTGAACAACAACCCCCACAACAAAATAATTAACAAGAATTGAAAAAATTAATTTGGGGGTTAAGGGGGGTAAGAAGAACAAAAGATGTATGAATTGGATAATTATATATTTTCGGAACGCAGAATTAAGGTTGCGGGAATGTTCCCGAATGGATGATACAGATAGGACAATAGATATATTAGAAATCAATCCAACTTGGGCATATTGTAGGTTATCCTTGATAAATTAGTTTAAATGTTATTCCTTCCTTTGATATGATGTTTTGTATACATTTGTATTATGGGAATTAAAAGCAAAATAAAATATTTTTTAAAAATTGGCAGGAAGTTCTGGATAGAGAAAATATGTGCCGAACGGGAGCACAGGTGTGGCCAGGCCGATGGTCTCACCCCTGGTTCTTCTGGAGCTCCGGAAGAAATCGCGCCCAGTCTAATACTGGAGATCTCTCGTGATAAAGAAGGAGGAGGAGGAGGAGGAGGAGATTGGATTTATACTCTGCCCTTCACTACCCAAAGGTGTCTCAGAGCGGCTTCCAAACTCCTTTCCCTCCCCCTCCTCACAACAGACACCCTGTGAGGTAGAAGAAGAAGAGATTGGATTGATACCCCGCCCTTCACTACCCAAAGGAGTCTCAGAGCGGATCACAAACTCCTTTCCCTTCCCCTCCCCACAACAGACACCCTGTGAGGTTGGTAGGGCTGAGAGAGCTCTGACAGAAACAGCTCTTTTTCAAGAACAGCTCTGACAGAACTATGGCTTGCCCAAGGTCATCCAGCAGCTGCAAGTGGAGGTGTGGGGAATCAAACCCGGTTCACCCAGATTAGAGTCTGCGCACTTGTGGGGAGGGAGAAGGAAAGGAGTTTGTGAGCCGCTCTGAGACTCCTTTGGGTAGTGGAGGGTGGGGTATCAATCCAATCTCTTCTTCTCCTTCTTCTACCATCCCTGCTTAGTGTGCTCAGGACAACTAGATAACCCTTGATCTGAACTACCAGGCAGTTCTTTATTTGCGTAAATTATTCCAGTGGCAGAAATTTCCACCAATCCAGAGAAGGAACACATGAACCAGGCTTATACAGAATCAGGCCCTCAGTCCATCAGACTGGCAGCGGCTCTCTAGGGTCTCAGGAAGAGGTCTTTCCCAT